TATATATTATCTTATTTACTTTTTGATCTTACGTATATATTAAAATTAAGAGATCAAATTATTTCACTTACATCTCGGTAACAGCCAACTGTTCTTCCGCTTTTTTCAATTGATCTTTCAGTTTGTCAATTTCCTTTTGCTGTCGGATGATATCCTTCCCCCATTTTTTATCTTTTGAGTCGAAACGATGGAGCAACTGACGAGGAACAACTCCACATTGCTTCTCATATCCTTCTTGCACTCCTCGTAAACGTAATACTTCAGCTTTTAATTCGCTATTGAGATAAGTCATTAAATTACCTTTTTGTTAAAATTTAATAGGATAATGAGATTCAATCCTTTTGCATAATTTGCCTCCGAAATATTTGTAGCATTTGTATAATATATAATACGACAGTAAAACATGGAGTTTTTATTGAATTAAAAATTATCTCCCCCTCGGGAGACGTTCTACCGAATTAGCCGGTCATGCGGATCTTCATTGATGCGAATTCGATTGACTATAGCTCGAGCCTGACACGCATATCGAAGGGTCGCCAAGGTCTCCTCTACGTGGATGTTGGCCGGTGACACCGTTCCCAGCATTGCCGTTCGTGAATTTCCTCCTAGGCTCTCCTGCAAAAAAGTTTGTTTGCTTTTACATATTTTAATTTGTTCTTTGTTTACACAATTTATCTATACTGTATATGATAAAAAATATAGTCTCTATCATGATAGCAAACGTCAAAAGCGATCGCAAATCATTTGCGAATTCAATCGGATATCGTTATCTGGCCACTGTCATCTATCAACGGTATGTTATCTCTTTGAGCACCAGTAAATAAAAAATAACTGCTTATTTTTGTGGTTCTTAAGATAAACTTATGGACTTTCTATTTCTAATTAATGGATATGATCTTTTGAATTTTTATCTTGTATTAGCCCAATTCGCAGTTCTTCACAAGCTTGCAAATAAATAAGATTTTAAATAATTCGACGGAAAATATAAATCAATTCAAAATTTTATTAGTCTTATAAGAAGAACTAATAAACAGTTTTGAAGTATTTATATCAAATTTTATGGCCCGAATATATATTTTATATAATATAAGAAAAATAAGAATTGTGAAGAATATCACGAGTTGGCGTTTCGTCCTGGCTTCCACTACTAGACTCATCAGTAAGGTAATGTAGTGGGAGCCTACCTTAGACGCCTGGGAGAGATGTTAGAAAGAAGTTCTATATAAACAAATAATCATGTAATTCGGCACTTGCGAGAATTGACACGATTAACTATAGACCTCTGTTGGCAAGTGGGGGGGAACTACTTACATAGTATATAATATTCACATTTTAACATATCTTATATATGATCGCACTAATAACAGCGAATAGCTCTCATTAGCCTTACTATTCTTGTTATTTGAAACTTTCGAGAGTCTTCTTTAATTGATTTGTTTTATATAATAATTATGAATAACAGAATAGGAATTACTAAAACATATAACTGTTTATTTCTATGATTTTTCCTGTTCGTATTGTTAACACTAAATATTACGAAACTGTTATCTTAAAATAAATTTTTACGATGACCTTAAATTTCCTTTCTTGCATGCAATTAAGAAAGTTTTATCATTAAACGCAAATTTTTATGTAAAATTATGGAAAACATTGCTTTGAGCTAAAATAAACTTGCAGAATATTCTACATTACTCATTTTTATTACTGTTATTAATTATTAATGAGAGATTAGACGAAAATATTGAAATAAAAGGCATTAATAATATTTGAAAGAATATATATATATGTATAATAATAATTAATATATATATATTCTTTCAAAAGCGCCTGAATTCCTGCGTACATTGCATTTGACTGTAGATATGTGGTAAAAATGAAAAAAGTAAACCGTAAGTGTGAAAAAAAAAACATTAGAAAAAGCTTTTGAAGAAAAAGCGAAGGAAGAGGAGAATACAGTAAAATATAGTAAATAAATGTTTCGGGAAGGTTAAAAAAGTTGCGAGATAAATTTATAAATTAAACGAAACATTAAAGCTAGAAGATAAGGACACGTGGAATATAAAGTAAAGGAATCGAAAAACAAAGGCAAAAGTGTCACACACATTTTTCGACCTACTATTTCGCTAATCTAACTGAAACATTCGATGATCTAGGATAAATATTACAAAAATATGTGTCGAGTAAGACTCGATTGGTGACTAAATACTCATGCAATCATAAAGCATGATTATTATTGAGATATACATATATAACATCTTTTGTGCAAGTTTATCTGCGTATCTATCTTAACAAACTGCTGCGTACATGTGATGAAGAGTGGTTTGTAGAAATGATAAAAAATATCCTCGATTGGATATTTTATAGACATTGAAAATGTGCTTTGACGAATGTAATTATTTGTGATCGTAACTCTTGTCCATGCTTAAAAATATAAATCAGTCGCAAAAGGCTGACTTTGTATTTATAATACAAAGTCAGCACACAGAATGGAATGCTGTTTTTTTTTCATGTGTTAAAGCATTGTCTAAAAACGTGTTAATAACTTCGCAAATTAGCATTTTATTTGTTATTATATCTTTTATATTTTTTGTTAGTTCTATTAAATTATTTAGTAATCATTTATTAATGTTTATTATAATTTATAGTTTTCAAATGTTTATTATTATTTTGTCTTTAATATCACACAATTGTTATTTTTTTTCTTATAACTTATTTATATTTAATTAAACATTGAAATAGAAACGTAGTAGGAAGAACGAAAACTCATGGTGTGAGTTGTAGTTATTTAATATCCATTTCTACTAGGATATAAATTAACTTTAATCTCGATTTAATGTACTCTTCTTTTTCTCTAATTAGAAACAGTTAGAACTAGAAACATGCATAAATGTAGCAGACAAAGAACCAATTCTTTTCAAATATTTATCAAGGATAACGGAAAGAACTGTTTCGCAGTACTTTGGACAAAAGGAGTTTCATTAAATATAATAATACTTTTAATATTGTAATAGAATTAAACAATATATTTTAATACATTAACATGTTATATTATATAGATATATTATCGTACATAATAGCAAAAAATGATAAAGGAAGAAAAGATAATGATTTTATTTTTAACGGCGAAAACACAGGATGCGCGATGACTGTAGTACGAGGGTGATACGATATATTTTTCATAATCGAAGAGTAAATTATCTTATCGATATGTCACTGTGAAAGAAGTAAGAGTTTTTAAAAGGAAAAACGATGAAAACAAGAAGGAGGCTTCGGCGCAAAAGCGTACGCATTGGTACGCACGTACGCACGCTTTCGCTTAAGCGTGTGCGCACGCACAGACGCACGCACGCATGCGGTTCTCCTCGTTGCGTATGTCATTACCTTTTGCGCGTCGCACAAATCCACACGAATGACGAAGGTGATTGGCGGAGCTGAAGGTGGGGCACCGAGAGCGTAAATGCGAGCGTAAATGTAAGCGTCCCGAAGAACGGGGGGAGGGAAGATGTGTTGAACGGAAGAAGCGGTAAAAGGGAGGACGGACGGAAAACCGGTGACGGGTGAAGCCGAGTGGGGAAAGACTCAACAGATAAACATTACACGCGTTAGCGTCCACGCTTCGTTAGTCTAAAGCGAGAGCCATCGGCGACGAGAGTCTGTTTCTTTTTTTTTCCCCTCTTTCCCGCGGAAGAAGAAACTACGTTTCTGCAATCCGGGCGTAACGGGACGCATGTCGACCGTCTTATCAACCGATCTCTGTTAACCGAAAGCGATCTCGGAGCAGTTTGCGAGCATCAACAGGAAGAAAGACGCATGTACGAGACACGCTAACGAGAAATTGTTGACGATACAATCCTACAACTCTTTTATTTTGCGTTTACATTATTAAGCGTTGGCCAACGTGGATCATTACGAGAGACCATGGATCTCGTTTACATACCAGAGTTGTTTACCTACGGATACTTGAGGAATCCACAGTACCATGACTACGAGCAGCCATGGAACAGAGATTATTTCAAGTGCAGCAGTAAGTATAGAACTCTCTTTATCTCATTAAATTATCATTATTTAGATAACAGATTTATATTTAATATTTGATGGAAAATCTTAACGGAATATTTTAACGGTGGAATATAATAAATTCGCATTATTACGAAAATAAACACGTGTTCTACGATTAGATGACCTTAGAAATAGATCTTATTAATTGATAACTACAAGCGCGTTCTAAAACAAATTAGCAGTGAGCGATAAGGCTCTTCTATATCACATTTATATATTTTTTTTTTAGTTTCGACCAAGTTTCTTCGAGTAAATAATCAAATAAATTTGTTTTCCGCCAACCAGGCTACGTTCAGATTTCCACCAGAGTTCACGGAATGTTCAACAAAGATAAAATATCTTGGAGCATTCGGGTGAGAATCTGAACGCGCCCTAGGATACCTATCATGTAACTTTTTCCTCATATGGTGGAAATATGAAACGAAAATGTTTTCCACTAACATAAAAATTTTCACCAGTATCAAGAAAGTTACTAACAGATTAAAAATCCTTCAATGTTTATATTTAAAATCTGAATATTGCAAGTTCAAAGATCTGAAAATAACTGTTCTCTTTAATTCAAGACAGAATTGCAATTTAAAATTATAAATACCGCAATACATAACAAAAATTAAAAAGATTTGAAAATTGGTATATCCTTTAAAATTTTTATCATGAAAAGTTTGACTGCGTGTTATTCAAACCGGTCACAGACTCTGTTTAAATTTATTGTTTACAAGTTTTGTGTACTGGATAAGATTCTTTCTCTATATACAATGATACATAACTATGAATATATCGCAGATATGCCGTGAAATTAATTAGCAAGGCTTATAATAAACGGCGCTGAAGTACAATCTTATGAGCAATTAATTTGTTTAATCAACAAAACTTTTCATTTCCAATCTTTTCCTGTGCATCTTTAAATACAAAATTGCTAAAATAAATCGTACGAGATAAACATCATACTTTTGGTCAGCAAAAATTACGAGGACTCGATTGGCAAGTTATAACAAGATAATATTTCTTCGCGCCTTTCGGTGCACAAAAGACGTATCTTATCTCTAATTTAATAATTCTAGAATCAGAGGTATTTAAGTACTCATCCGTTAATTAACTAATTCATTACAAGTGTACAATTTCTTCATTTATCCACCTAAACCTTAGAAATTGAAAAATCTTCAGATAATTTATCTGTTGTTTTCATACTGTAATATTATAATATTGTTATTTGTTGTTTTCAATTTATTATCTTCAGATAATAACACATACGGGGATATTTCTTCACTACCCGAGACTTGTTATCGGTCACTCGATGTCCATCGAAAGACTTCGAGTGCGTTCCTCCTATTAAATCGTCTACGCAGGAAAGTGCTCCAAACGACAGTCTCGACATTACCTTACATGATCGATACAAGAAAAAAAAAATCGGAAGAGAAAGCCTTATTTTATTACCTTATTTTATTTTCAAATATTTTCCAAATAAAACCTGATAATCCATAGATTTTCTATCCAGTTTCTCCTTTTCTTTTTTTTTTAAATACGCAAGATACATAAATATCAAAATAACATCCACATATTGAGAGCACAATAATAAAACGGGATAATAAAGCAAGGCAATAAACCGACTAAGATAAAGCAGTCAAGGTGAGGCGAACTAAAGAAACGATAAAAGAGAAACTACAGAAAAGTTAGAATGACTGCATTCGGAAGTTCCGGGAGGAAATGCGAATACTTTCATCGGATGTTGCGTGGAAATTGCAATAACCGCATAATTGTTTGTTACTCTTCGCGGTTGTTAGCCGCGTAGTTACGCAACAAGTTTATATTCGTCCGCGTAATATTGCGGAGGGAGGGAATCTGTTTGTTATTTGGATGAGAGTAGTTGCACATAAATGCATCGGCAATAAAAAGCTATTGCAATTATGAAAATAAATTTTCCAAAATTATATCTATTACATATTAATTGTAATAAGGCTCAACAAATTTAAAACTAATAATATGAGAATAGGGCTACGAGCCTGAGATTCATTAAATATATTAGAATTAATAGAATTAAAGATTTTAATGAATCTCAGGCTCGTAGCCCTATTCTCATATTATTATATCTATTACGTTCTCAAAAATATTGCAATCACTCTATATGATGAAGATTTACGATAGTTACTTTCTTTTTTCAATCGTACTATGAAAAAAAAATTTATCATAATTATAATAAAAATCAGATACGAAATAAATACAAGACTAGTCAGGAAAGAGGAAAATATAATACTCTTTTGAAATATAACGTGTAAACTAAAAAATTATTGCAATTGCAAAAACGTCGAAAAAATACAGTTACAACATTGTCGTTATCGAGTATCGTCAATATCCGCGTACGAAGTAGCGGCGAGCTCGTGAAACAATTTGCGAACAAAGCTGTTTTGTGTACCTAATATAGATGTCATCATATTTTACGCCGTAAGGTATATCTGTATAAGCGCGCAGTAATGGATAAAAATTATCTACACTACAGATAAATTAATGTTTCAGATAAAAAATAATTTCATAACGTATTCAAAGTTTTAAATTTATAAATATATTATTAACTTGCATAATTTTATATCTAATAAAAAAATTTCCTAGATTTTAGTAAGATCTTATATAATAAAAATATTTTCCGAAAAACAAAAGATTTAATATTAAATTACATAAATACGTATACACTCTTGATAAATTGCAGAAAAGAGAATTTACGTCGCATTTTTTTTTTAAACGTCAGCAAGAATTGCGTACAACCAGATATTTCATACTAGTCATATCTGTCAAGTAGATTAAAATGCTGAACATATATCGCACATTGTATCATGTGCACTTTCCTTCTGCTACGTGCAATTTTAAAATATTATCTGCATCAGTATCCTGTTAATATATTTCCGTTAAAAAAAAATGACTAAAGAGCGCGACACGAATAAATAATGCAATATGATTCTCTTTATCATATATTATCATGTATTAAACCACTAAAATCTAAATTATATTTTGCATCATTGCGGGAAAATAATAATGTTATCATGAAAATCTGCGCTTTTAATTTCCATTGGAGCGTATTTTTATTCAGTCAGTAATATTTCTTTTATTCTAAATGACAGCTACTTACACAATTCTCTTTTAGAATAAATGGCTTTAAGATATAACATTATGCTATCAATAATGATATTGGCTAACGGCTAAGAGAAAAAAATCGTCTATTTATGTATTGAAAAAGACACGTGCATTACCGTACATTTCTCATGCAAATCGACCTTGTTTACGTCGTCATAACGAGATAAGAGTTACATAATTAGACAAATCAGTGGCACGAAATGTTTATTTGCGAATTTGCCTATCTCGATATTCTTCATTTCTCGCTCTACATCGTCTAACAACTGTTATGATCATAATACTTCAATATGCCTGTTTATTACGTCTGGTATTAACGGTCCTGGTTTTAACGCGGATAAATAAAAAAAATTTACGTTATCGCATTTAAGAGATGCAATATATCAGATAAAATTTTATCAAACGCGTTATAATTTTTAAATTTAAAGAAAAAGTGTATCGATTAAAAATTAACGATTGCGTCGCGAAAACAATGTACGCACTATTACTATTGTATACATGTCGGCATTATTGTCCATTACATAAGAACTATGATATTTGACACTTCGAAAAATAGCAAATTTTTCAGTAAAATTAAAATCAAAATTTTTCTAAAAAATTTAATTTAATATTGTTTAAATAGAAATAATGTGTCTCGAAATAGAGAGATTAAACAATCCGCATTATACTATTTCGATTGTTTCAAGTATATGTCACGTGTATGCTACGTTTCTGTGATACACACGTGTCTATTTTTAGCCAGTTTCTTTAGGCGGTCGCGCACTACATGATCCGAATCACGTTTCAAACGTCAGCATCTCTCCTTATCATTCAGCGGATTGTTTTCGACATTCAACGCGGAGAACGTTCGGCATTAATCATTAAAATCTTTAATTTCAATTATGTTAATATAGGATTTGGAATAGAAGTTCTTTCACGAAACAAATTTAGAAACGTATATTCCAATTCTTTCAAAAAGCTAAATCGTTTTGTCAGATTAATCATCTGTTTAAGTATAATTGCGATCCGTCAGTGTGTTTGCGATTATTCCGAATAAGATTATTGCGCGTAGTACGTCGCTGAGTGTCTCAATAACTATGAGGTGAAACGACAGATTTCCGTGACTCATGAGCTAAGGTATAATCATCTGGCGCTACAAGTGAACGCGTTTAAGATTGTACGTCGGAATTTTTTGTTCTCGGTTTTTTTTCAATTAACACTGAAGCTGTGACGGTCATCAGCGCTATATATACCTATATATGTTTCGTTGACGCAAAATAGAAACTATAATTGCATTCAACAAGCTAAGTAGCTATTGATAAAGAACACATTATACGCAGTAATTAATGTCTTCTCTAAAAATTTTATTTCTAATCCTTTATTAGTGATAGCAAATGTACATGTAATTAGATTTAACTATTTCAAAAGTTTGGAAACGTACACGTGCATAGCAAGATTCAATAAAAAAAACAATGAAATAAAAATAATAAAGTTATAAGGCTCTACGTGTGAAACAAAGTATATATAGAATAAGAGCAAAGAGTCAGTAACACAATTAATTTGAATTTAAATAATAATAACAATCATGTAAATAAAGTAACAAAGAAGTTTAATATATAATAATAAATAATATATACGTTTCGACTGCGATCGGGTCATTCTCAATGTTATAATAAAAAAATTAATAGATAAAAACCGTTAAACCGCGTGATTATATATATATAAATTATATTAAAAAACATTAATATAGCTTCTACAAAAATTACAAATAGTTGTGCTTCGAAGTCGTTGTGTTTCTAATTTTGCATTTTTCGTTCTGTGCAATGTTGCAAGTCAAAAGTTTAAGTTAGCAATAAAGAGACAATATAGTTGTATATGTAACATCTTTTCTATAAAGAAGAAAGTAACGGCACAATTTACTTTTTGAAGCAATTTTGCAAATACTTAATTGCGTTAGAAAGACAACTGATATCGACGGCTTCATATGATGCTGTGATAAATGAAATAACTTTCATCTCAAATAAACAACAAAGAATTTATCAATTTATTTAATAACAATTTAATAGCAAATATAGAATTAAGATTCCATTAGTTGCTATATTTTATTTAAGATAAAATATTAAGAAATACCATATATTAACTGTAAAAGACACTCTATTTTCTATTTATTAGCATATTTATATGATTTTTTTCAATGAGAGTCCAGTATTTGAGTATAAATCGATTGCATTTTGCAAGGAAAATGTCGATAGTTCTGACATTTCCTTCGTAATTCTAATTAATTCTTTGATTACTGGAATGTTAAATAGATTTTCTCTGAAAAATGCTTTGAATTTTTATCACTCATAAACTGTACCACATGTCGACTTATTGAGAAAAGTATCACGTCGTAAACATTCACGTTAGCACCGAACGTTAGCTCAGAACCGGTATACCAAAGAATAAACAAACCGGTTTGACGAACAAGTTTTATATAACTTTTAAAATGCGACATAAAATTTCTATCGACAGAATGAAAACATTTTCAATTCATATTATTATAAGTACACGTATTGATTATTTTAAAAAAGTATGGCGGAAACATTTATTTCAATTGTAGAAAAAAGTCGAAATACCTTCTGTTTTCATTAGACTATTTTGGATTATTGTTTAGGAAAATCAGTGGAAAATCAACGAACCGTACAGCAACAATCCAAAGAAAATTGTCACTTTTGCAAAGAAATGAAAAGAAGAAATCTGGCAGTTTACATAAGAAGTAAATCACGAAGCGATTCCTGTCACGAAGGGATCCAAGAAGAAGAGGAGAGTGACGTGATGTACAATGAGAGAAAAATCGCAGATGCCGACCGAAATAAGTCCGCGAAATCGTCATGCAATGCACAGAAATCATAGTATTATGCATACTAGTATATATACATATATACTTAGTATTATAATGGTCGCAATAATATTAATTTTACATTAAGACAAACATAACATGCAGATGTAAATATAAATACGCATAACGAAATTATTTTTAATTAATTTTAAGCTAATTTCACATTTATGACCATTAAGTACTAGATTTCTTAAAAAAATACGTTATAAAACGATAAAAGAGAATTTATTTTTGAAAGTTTTTTTGTATTTTATAGCGTATATGCGCAACACAACTTTTTTTAATTATAAATGCATAAATTAAGTACGTAGAAATTGAAACAAACTAAATGTTATATCTTTAAAAGCAGGTGTAAGTAAAATGAATTCCTTTCAAAATGAATAAGATTTGAATTAAGATTTATACTGAAGTATTTGTGTAAACAGAATTTTATCATTACTACTTCATACATTCTTTCGATTATACATTATACGAGCATATTCAGCATTGTCCATACACTAGTCATTTAATAAATATCTGCGTAAATGTGAATGTTAATACGCTCCTAAAATTATCAATCACTAAGACTTTATTATGACTGTTAAATTTGGTAAATCGTATCGATATTTGCACGAATTAGATTTATATTATCGAAAAGATAAAAAAAAGAAAATATTATTAAATCAATTGTAATTTTAGAATCACAGTTATCTTGCTTCCGAGACAATAAGAGAGAATATATCTATTACAGAATTGTGTGTTTTTTGATATTTATTTTAAAAATTCAACAAAATCAATCATGAAACTTCAATGAAGTTAATTCCAATAGAACTTCACAAATTACCTGCATGATATATAAGACTGAATACATTTTTATGATAAGTGTATAACGAAATAATTTTTAAATACATAATATTATTATTATACTAACACGATAATGTACAATGTACTTAGTTCCGAGAAATAAGATTTTAATTTTTATATAGAGATGAAGAAATACCATAGATGCTGGAATTAATCGATACATTTTTACTTTACTTGCAGTTATTTTACTTATGATGTACTATTGTATTTTAAAATATGTATTTTAGACTGTATGATCAAACATAACAAAATTATATTGCTACTATGAGTGTTTTTATTTTCCATACTTACATAATTCAAATAACGTTCAATTAAGCATGTAAAAATTAAGTAAAAAATTATTGTAAGATGTAGTAATAATAATTTAAAGGATAAACATAGACGTCTATGTTTCCCTTCCCTTTCAGTAGAAAAATGTGTATCACCAAACTATATATCTAAATATATTCATACTAGCAGACATGCAGAGCGAATTGGTATGTTATATAATCACAAAGTGCATGAAGTAGGGCTATGTTCAGATTCCCACTCGAGTGCCACCCAGGGCTATGTTCAGATTCCCACCCGAGTGCCACCCAGGGCTATGTTCAGATTTCCACCCGAGTGCCACTCAGGTATCCTTCTATCCTTATTGTTTGCCAAATGTTAAACAAGAATGACGTGACACCCAGGGAGCACTCGGGTGGGAATCTGAACACGCCGCAGGTATCCTTCTATCCTTATTGTTTACCAAATGTTAAACAAGGATGACATGACACCCGGAGAGCACTCGAGTGGGAATCTGAACATGCCCTAAAACGGTATTAATATAATATTCTATAACAGACTACAATAGATCATGTAAGAATTATCGCTTAAAGTTTAAATTTATTTCTCTATATCTCTATTAAAAAATGTTCTTAAGATCTCATTTTTTCTCTCAAAATATACATAATATAATAGAGTACTTACCTTTAATAGCCATGTCAACACTGATTCACGATACGGTACAAAACCTTGTTTACGATTATTTGTGTTTTCCGTGAGTGATGCAATTACTTTTCCCAAAGTAAGTAAAGACTTGTTAATAGATACACCTTCCTGTTAAACAAAGTGATATATATTATATGGTACTATCAACATTTAATGAATTTTGTGGATAAAATCAGGGAATGGAAAGTTACTTTTTAAAAATAACTAGTTACAGTTACTCGTTACCGAGTAAAAAATGTAACTAGTTACAGTTACAGTTATCGCTTTTTAAAAGTAACTCGTTACAGTTACCGTTACTTGAAAAATAACTTTTCGTTACTTTTCCGTTACTTTTTTAAAATCAATTTAAAAATGTACTTTTGCATTTTTTTTTTATATGTAATACTGACAAATATATAGTTTTATTAAAAAAAAAAAAAACAATGTAGAATGGCTCAAATAATAAATTAAATAAAAGTAAAATGAGAAGGGTTACGAGCCAAAAATGAAACAGTTTATTTCCGATAAGAACGACGATGACAATGTAATTAAATGTATAAATATATATTAGAACAATACATAGATAAAACAAGATAAAAACAAACGACGTTTCGACACTTATTGTCATCGTCTTTTAAACTGTTTCGCTTTTGGGTTCATAGCCCTACTCATTTTACTATTATTTAATTTATTTTTTAATTTTTTTTAAACACAATTTTGTAATTCTAAAACCTGTAAAATATGCAGCAAATTGAAATATTTGTATGTCCTATGTATTACATAGAAGATAGAAGTGTAAAATAATTACTGAATCATAACGGCCGAATGTCTAAGGGCTTTCAAGTCTTATTGATAAGCGCTATAAATAGCATGTATCCAATCGAACCGTATTCAATCGTGTGCAAAGTAACGACAAAAGTAACTGTAAATTTCGTTACCGTTACCCAAAAAATGTAACTCGTTACCGTTACAGTTACCAAAAAAAGAAAGTAACGCAGTTACCAGTAAAGTTACCAAAAAAGTAACTTGTAACTGTAACTTCGTTACAAGTAACGAGTTACTTCCATTCCCTGGATAAAATGTTATATCAAAAACTGACCTTTAATCTATCACCAGTTGCAGAAGTTTGACTCAATCTTTCACTACCAGCTAAATCAACCAAATTAATTTTACTACGACGATCAGCATCAAGTGGCTCACAATTCAATTGATTACCCAAATGCGTCTGAGTTAATATAATACTAAAAATGCTGTGAGACCTTGAGCTTTTCTCGTTCATACCAGTTGCAGCCGTGGCTCTCTGCGAGTTTCCCACTTTAAGCCAAGTCTAAAAAATTGCATCAACAAAGAAATAAATACGTATATATATTTATATATAAACAATCATATAATCATGTCATGAAATTATATAATAAAAATACCTGTAAGTCTTTGTAATTTTGCACACAATGCTGGCTTAAGTCTACGACATAGGGTCCAAAGACTGGATGCTCTCTTACTTTAAGGGGAGCCTTCTTCGATCCATTATTTGTATTCGCCAATAAATCATGTATTTTTTCATTATATATTTCAAAATAGCTAATTTCTATGGTAGTCTCGATATGTGGATTGTCACATGCTCGTGAAAATATCTCCTGGCAAAATCTTGGTATGATGCCAACTCTCTCGTCAAATGGTGTTGCACTTAATTGCACAGATTCTGTGCCCATTAGACTATAACTTTTGCCAGATCCAGTCTGTCCATAAGCGAACAAGCAGACATTGTATCCTTCAAAAGCATTTTGTACCAAAGGCAACACCATATTCCGAAAGACAACTTCTTGACTGGCATGACCAGGTGTAAGCAGGTCGTTGTATGAAACAAAGCAATGGTCATACATAAAAGTATGATGTGCAGATTCGCATTCCACAATAACATTTTGACCATTTCCTTCCACAATTGTCGTAACTTTTGGATCGTTTAATTCTCTAAAATTATAAACATTTTGTAAATAATGAAATGCCCTTTACTAATAGAATAATAGTATAAAAATAGAAAAAGAAAAAAGTAAATTAAGAACAAAGAAAATTGAAACATAAAATTTTCAATCTTAATATCTTATTGATAAAATAACTTTCAATAATAAACATTATGTACAAATATATTAGTCTGTTAAAGATTATAATTTAATATATATTTTCATTTCAATTTTAAATAATTAAAAAATATATACACATAGAGGTGTAAAAATTTATTATATAACAATTTATTTACTTGGCATTTAAGGGTCTGATGCGTATTCCAACTATGAGATTGCTACTTTCACCTTCATACATTGTCTGTTCTCCAACAACTATGTCATCAATTTTCTGGGATGGAGTTTCCAAGTGAACTGTATTAAAACATTCAGGTGTGCTCTGTGACAGAGCATTATCACTAAAGTAACGCTTCACAGGTGTCCTTGCATTCGATAAAACATTGAATTTAGTATTGGCACTTGGTGTATTTGTTATTCTCGATTGCTTGGGTGTATAGAATTGTATGGCAGATGTTTTATCATTGAATGATCCGCTAACAAATTTTGTTGTTTTGACAGGAGTCTTTATATTTCTTTCAATAGATGTGATATTACTAGAAATGTGTGCCTGTTTTGCTAGGTTTATCGGTTTCAGACTTGATTCTGCATTGGACGATTTGCTTGGAGGCCCTAAGGTTTCTACTATTTCAGGTTTTGAAGGTACATTCTTCAAAGAACATTGTGCTACCTTGTTTGTGTTCTGTCCCTTTGTCAAACCTGATGACTCACTGGACAAAGGAGGATACAAATTTTTCTTTCTACAAGTCATTATTTTATTTGAAAAGTTATTTTGTTTATATTTAACAAGCATAATAAGATTAAATGAAAAGGAAGAATGTTAAACTTGAAAAAAACAGATCATTTTTAACTTTTACCAAAATTATTTTAATATAACCACATTTGTATATTTAACTTATACAATAATATTTAACTAAATACAAATAAAAATGGAAAAATATTTATTTTATTCGGAAACAATGCATGGTTTACGCAATGTTTATCTCAATGATAATAATTTTTCATTCTTTCCTTTGCAAGTGACGGTTAAACGATATCAAGTAAATTTAAGCCTTACGTTTTTATCGCAGGGACAGTATTTTCCTTGTTAGAACTCCTCGGTGAAGTCGAGAAGATAGCTTCGCAGTATCCATGGCTGGTAAATTTCAAACTGTGGTGAGACATTTCGGTGGAAATCACAGAAAAAAGCTACTTAATCCAAATGTGGAATGATGCTGATGCAAGGAAAATTTGAACGAATTTAAGTTTTGCGACCTAACTTTACGAGACATAGCCATGAAATATAACAAATATACATAGATGTGACACAAGATGGGGTAAGTCTACAATTTTTTAAATCACTGTTTGCCATTTTCAAACTAACTAGAAACGCTTTTCAAAAACGTTACTTAAAACGTTATTTTATCAAATATCTATACAGTTTATTAATAAAAAATCAATTTAATCAATATATATAAATATTGTTATTATTATGAACAAATCTAAATCTCAAACAGATGGCAAATCAATAAAAAAAAGGCTGTATTCAATGGAAAAAGCAGCTTTGTAAAGGTTGATTTATACTGGCCGTAAACTGTTAACTTATGCCGTAATCTGTAAAAATTGACCAATCACAGTCGAATGAGAGGGGAATAATCGATTATAATTGGTCAATTTTTACAGATTACAGTATAAGTTAACAGATTACGGCCAGTATAATCCAAACTTAACTGTTGTAAAATTCTTTAATATGATTGATCTTGTCCACGGCAGAGTCCTAGATATTGATATCTAGTGGCGAATTCGATTGGATTGCACCAGTGCAGTGTGATTGCGCCAGTTCATCTTTTTTCCTTTTCCCTTCTCCTGGAAAGAAAAAGAAGAAAGATGAACTCAGGTGCACTCAGTGCGCACTAGTGCGCACTAGTTCATCCAATCGAATTCGCCATAGGACTCTAGTCCACGGCACAGTATAGGTAAGTACCAGGAAGTAAGATATAAGGAGACTCCACTCCGTAAAATAAAAGTGGACCCATTTTAGGTTTCGAGTTCAGTTTCCAATTCTGATGAGTGCGAGTAAGAGAAATGATCATTTCTCTTACTCGCACTTATTATGCACAGCACTACTAAATTCACGAGCGCTGCGAGTGTTGAGAATCGGAAACTGAACTCGAAACCTAAAATGGGTCCATGTTTTGTAGACTGGCGAGACTGAGTGGAGTCTCCTTATATCTTCCTTCATGGTAAGTACAAGTTTCAATCTCCAAAATTTATGGATAAAAGTATGTCAAAATTTTCATCATGGCGTCGATGTCACGTTGGATACTGTGTCACTGGTCTAGTTTCCACCGAAACATTAATTCGTACCTAATGCGGCATAGAACCAAATTTAACTCGATGGAAATATGTTTGAATCTGCTCATTTCACTTCCACTTCGATCCACAACTTCTACCAGAGTGGCAGCGAATTGACATTAAATTTTAGTCGGTGGAAACGACTAAATACCGGCTGAAATAGATTAAAAGTAAATATCGCCAACCTTTCCATTATTCGTTAAAAGGTTAAAAGTATAAGCCGTTCAAAAATGGATAATAAGCGTGATATTTGGTCATACAATGAAACTTTAACATTAATTCACTTCAATTCTACTTCCAATGGAAACAGTACACTAAGGTTAATCTATACCGTAGTGGAACCGAATTGAGGGTTTCGGTGGAAACTAGGTCTATGTTGTTCATTGAATGATGAACAAGGATAAATGATACTAGGAGTTTGACAGATTCAAGTTTTGGAACGCACCCCAAGATGGGAAAGCGGCAAGATATACGTTTGCCGAGCGATCAACCATAATTGGTATTGATTGGTATAGATTGGTACTTATAGATCCAATCAATCTCAGGGCCTTCTACAATAAAGCCCATTCCACATTGGTCGAATCGTAGGCGTAGCAGGACACAAATTTGTTGCAATAGCCAATCCGATGTATCAATTTAATGGGCCTTCTACAATAAGCCATAAGTCATAAATCGGAAGTAAGAAACTAAAAATTGACGAATCTCGCCGGCAAGATATTGATTGGTTATCGTGCCAACTTCCGCCGCGCGGCAAATGTTTCCGCGTTCTGTCTGCGGGAGCCATAAAGCAATGAATTTACCTAAGGCCGGAATCAGACTACGCATTGAAAATTGAGATTGAAGATTGAAGATTGAAATTTAACTAATGAGGATAAAGAAATTTTAACTCCTATTATTTTGATTAGTCAAAATTCAATCTTTCAATATCTCACGACGCTTAAGGAGCCTACAGACCAGAGCGGCGCAGCGGCGATCACTCGCCAATTGGCTATCTAGCCAATGAGAGCCATGCTTTTACGTAAAACCATTGGCTATCGCTCGCCGCTTCACCGCTGCGCCGCTCTGGTCTGTAGGCTCCTTACGATACGACCAATGTAGAATGGGCTTAAGGCTGGAGTCACATTGAGCGGAAATTACAGCGGAACGGAATAGTGAAACCAATCAGAATTCTACAATCATTCCGCTGCATTGCTTTCTGCGATTGTGATTGGTCTCGCTGTTCCGTTCCGCTGTAGATTTCCGCTCAATGTGACTCCAGCCTAATGGCTCCCGCAGACAGAACGCGGCACGCTTGCCGCGCGGCGAAAGTTGCCTCGATAGCCAATCAGCGTCTCGCCGGCAAGATATTGATTAGTTATCGTGCCAACTTCCGCCGCGCGGCAAATGTTTCCGCGTTCTGTCTGCGGGAGCCATAAGGCTGGAGTCACATTGAGCGGTAATTACAGCGGAACGGAACAACGAGACCAATCACAATCGCAGAAAGTAAAGCAGCGGAATGATTGTAGAGTTCTGATTGGTTTCACTATTCCGTTCCGCTGTAATTACCGCTCAATGTGACTCCAGCCTAAGGGTCGACAGGAGTGACCCGTGGAGACCAGAAATATTTTTGTTATGCCTTTTTTACAAAAAAATAGCTCTGTACGAGCCTTCAGGGCCTTTTCTGATTACGAATATCACAATCAAAACACGATTCATGTTATATTTTAGCCATAATATCAGCATAAAGGTATACACTTATGAGTGCAGATCAGTGCAGATCTAGGTCAGTTATGCTGATTTTTTTTCTCAAAGGAATAATATTTCCTTATGAAACCTGTTGGGATTTCATTGTTATATTGCTGGGAAGGCTCGTACAGAGTCAGATTTGCAAATTAATTCTTGAAAATTTTTATTAAAATAAGATCACTGCACTATATTACACATCGAGTGAGATAACAGAACAAGTTTTTATTATGCCTTTTTTTTACAAAAAAATAACTCTGTACGAGCCTTCAGGAGCCTTTCCTAATTACGAATATCACAATTAAAACGCGATCCATCCAGTATTTTAGCCGTAATTTGGGAATAAAAAATTCATCTTCGACTAGAGGTCTCTGGTTTTTGCGAGTCCGCAAAATTCCGAAGGTCAAAGGAGGTTGGGTTAAGTCGAATGGTGGCCGTGGTGGGTCGTGGGATTGAGAAGTATGGTGAGTTAGGTTAATTAGGTATACGTGGTTTATATGACGTATTTTGGTCACGAAGAACTCAAAGCTGTTTTCGATTCTGCCGTGCCATCACAGGCACGTATGTTCACATCAAATCAAGTGATCGTGGCATCTCGATCGTGTCAACGAAATTATTACGAAGGAGACTACGATGACAGAAGATAACTCGCAGGCCTCCATACACAAATGGATCAAGAGGGCAATACTTGCCACGTTCTTTACGCTCATCATTTTGAATTTGCCGATGATCTGTGAGACCCACGACATTCACGAGTCGCCGAGCTATAAGTATTCCCAAAAAGCCAACGAAATCTACTTAAATGAACATCAACATCAGCATCATCATCATGATGATAATCATGTTCATCAACATCAACATCATGATGATCATAAACACTCTTATTCAACGCAAACAAATACTTTAAAAAGGGATTACAATATTATCTTAAGGGCTGTTGGATCAACTTTGATCATATCCGCTGCACCTTTCTTTTTGTTATTCTTTCTACCTCTGGATAATACTGAACAATATGAGTCCCTACTCAAGATCTTGCTGAGTTTTGCATCTGGTGGTTTACTGGGTGATGCATTTCTTCATTTGATTCCACATGCGATGATTCCTCATTCGCATCAATCTTCGGAATCTCACTCACATTCTCATTCACATAGTCATCACGATGAGTCAGGACTTCACAAACATGACATATCTGTTGGTTTGTGCATATTGTTAGGGATAATAGTGTTTCTAATGGTAGAAAAGGCAGTACGCATTATTAAAGGTGATCACAGTCACTCGCATGTCCATCATGATTCTCAAGATAAAAAAGATAATTTGTTAGAGAAGAAAAAAGAGAAGAAAGAAGAGAAGAAAAACAGTGGTAAAACTGTTTCCAAAGCATATAAAGCACCTGAGAGTGAAATTAAGATCGCTGGTTATTTGAACTTGGTGGCAGACTTTCTGCACAATTTTACAGATGGTCTAGCTATAGGAGCTAGTTACATGGCTGGAAATAATATTGGTTACGTAACAACATTCACGATACTGATACATGAGATTCCACATGAAATTGGTGATTTTGCTATTCTGATACAAAGTGGATATAGTAAAAGAAAGGTAAAGTATAAATATAACATTATTATCTATGTTTACTTGAGAAAAGTCAGTCAATTAATTTATACAAAATATAAAATATGGTCAAAGATTTCTATAGTTATTACTATAAAATTCATCGTGTACAAAAATTTTGTTTTAAGTTTTATCTTCTTGTTTGTGTATGTTTAGGCTATGATGTTGCAGTTGACCACTGCTATAGGAGCTTTATTAGGAACTTTCATTTCTTTGTTAGCAGAAGGAATGGGTAAGAAGCATGTAATACAATCATTTAAATAGACACATCAGATTTTAGTTTGTATCTCATTTAACTTTGTCTTACGTGTTCTAGATGATTTTGCAACAAGGTGGATTCTTCCCTTTACAGCAGGAGGTTTTATTTACATTGCAACTGTTTCTGTAATACCAGAACTTTTAACTGCCACTAAATTTTGGCAATCAGTTAAGGAAATATCTGCACTTTTTGTTGGAGTGTATATGATGGTTCTTATAGCAGATTATGAATAAGAAATACATTCATTATAGAATGATTAATTTTGTTATACTATTTTCATTCGGTTTATTTCAGTCTTGCTTAATTAAACTTAATATTTAATAATGTTTTCATTACTTTGAAAACATTATTAAATAAGTAGCAGCGCAAAATAGAAATTTATTTTTATGCAATAAATGGGAATTTTACATTTATGTCTGAATGAAGAACAAGATTATGAAATGAACACGATTGTGAAAACAATGTATAACAAAAAAAAAAGATTAAAAACAATTATTATTTTTACATTAAGAAAAAATCTCGGTGATTTCGTGAAATGTAAAATATTTAAAGATTATCACGATTTATTATATAAAAATATTTATTATATAAAAAAAATATGACTACGTGATATTACGACATTACTTTAACATAGTTAAATACTGCGTATACTGATAATCTTACATATTTTGTTACAAAAAGTAATGATTTCATATTTGCGTCATTTGTTCCTATACATTTTTTAAATTACATTTACTATGTTTTTTAGTCTGTATATTATATTATATAATAAAACTGAAGAAAAATAGGAGCAACCGTTAATGATTTTAACCTTAATATATATTGTCATGATCTTGAGCAACTTCCAATAAATTTTAGGTAGCGATCATTATTCGTTAAAAAAATATTAACAGAAAACATTTAAGAAATATCTTATTTTTGTTCTATATAATATTATTTCTGCTTTATATAATATTAAAAGACTTCAACGCAAAACGAGTTTCCTCTGCCAAGGGGCGCATGACCTTCCAGACAAAGGGAGTTTCCTCCCACCTCCTCCTCCATTCTTATGAGAAAACCTATTGGAGGTCACTCAGAGTCAGATGCCAAAGTTAAGGTCATCGACGATTGCCCCTTTTTTCTACAGTTTTACCGACCATATTTGATAAATTATATTTTAAGTTTATAATAATTATCAAGATAAGTCTGAAATATATATCTTATGAAAATTATCACACAAATAATGTGTTCAGAGGAAGTACTTATAATAATTTGCTTATTTTCATACTTAGAGTGCCTAAAATAAAGACTATTTGAAAATATTTAGTCAAATATTTGTATTAAATAATGAGTACTTTTTTAAAATTATAGATAAAAATATAACTTGAATAATAGCGCGCGCTTAAATGTATGTTGTGCGCATAAATTTAAATAAAAATTAGTTTAATTTATAGCTCATTATATAATAAATCTATTTTCTCATGATTTTTTTATAATTAAATCTTTTTGTTTTCTAATAGAGCCTAAATATATTTTTTCTGCATAATGTGATGTATATGCGAATGACATAAACAGTTTTGTATCTGTTAATATAGCTTAATTTAATTTTTGAGTTTACAATAAGATATATATGATATATATATGATTTAAAAATTCATATAAACTACAAAATTTCTAAAAAATTATAAGCATATATACATATAATACTGTAGAATATCTTTTAGTTGTGGAGTAGAACGCCAGGAAAGGCTTTGGATGACACACAATCAGAGACGTCCTCTTATTTTGATATAATAGATATTTTATTTAGACTCTGCTACAATATCGTCCATACAGGAGGACGGTTTACATAAGACTCTCAGAGTCCTTTTTTGAAAATAATTCAAACGGTCAATAATAGCCGGGTGTATATCAATTGCACACGAGCCAGTTGCGCACAAGCCAATCACAACGCTAGAAAAAAAAAAATAAAAATTTCCTACGCAGAAATTGCTGTAATAGGCAGTGGCAAATATTGCTGAAACTGTATGAGATTCAAATGAAGATAATATCATTTTATTATTTAACATTTGTACATTTAAAAAATATCTATATATATATTATATATAGATATATATGATATATATGAATATTACCCGTAATATTGAGGAAAGCCCCCTGTTATGAGATAGGCGCCTAATATGAGATAGCGGCGTTTCTGCTAAACTAATAAATGCTATTTGTTGATTCTACCATGAAATTATTGCTCTTGGATTGAAAACTATTTAGTGGAAAATTTATTGTTAGGTCATGCCTACAGTAATAATTGTAAAACAAAATTTTAGAATTTGAATGTTCTCAAGTTTTATTGAGATAAGTCTTTAATCTTTGTTTATTATTTAATAAGTAATTATTTGGCAATAAATTCTTTATGTAGTAATAGAGTAAGATCGTACTGATAGAAAAATACGGAATATGTTAAACTGTTTAATTAAAGAAGTTAGATTTATTAGTTAGTTTTTATTATTGTACAATAATAAAAAGAATAACCGGAATGAACATTGAGGGTCTGTTTCTGCAATAATTCGTTTCAATTACTGAAGACAATTTCTGAGTACAATGCATATCACATGCTCAATTTACGCGCACAGGCTGTACTCGTTTGTATTTTAGAAACATCAAATAAAGTTTTTTTAGTTCTAATACTGATGTACTTTGTGCTTTATTATCGATTTCTCGGGGTTTCTCATATTAGGAGCACAATATTTTGACTTTGCGATTTGTTCACCTTTTACATTTCTTTAATTAAAAAATAAAATAAAATTTTACATGACACTATCTTAAAGCTTATTAAATTCTCTTCACAAAATGACCTATTATTTTTTTAAATTCTGCCTACAAACTTCTAGCATTTACTTAAAATAAACTCAGTATCTCATAATAGGAGCCTTTTTCCTCTGTATATGTATATATATGAATATTACCCATAATATTTATATATATTTAAAATATTTATTCTTACATAAATATTAAACATATAATCTCAATATATGTGTGTGTGTGTGTTTTTACCTGTATCAATAATCGTTTGATCGTCATAATGACTTCCGGGACTTCTTCGTCAGTACCCTCGATACCAAAAAGATAATTAACAATTAATGTAGGCAACGACACAGCGAGGAGCATTCTGCATTTTCTCTTCTGCGAATTGTGACTATCGCGCGCGCGCGCGTTGTGAAATGATATTTTTCTATCCTAGCGGTAAATATCGCGGGAGTTTCACAAAAACATTCTTATACACATGTACATTACGTCGAGCATTCACTGTCGAACGAATAAAATTAATATTTGATAGGACGTATCTCGACACGTGCAATACCGAATTTATAGACGGTACATTTTGACAATCAGGTGAACTGTCAACACATCGGAATGCAGCAACAGCTGATACTAGAGTACCCATGAGAGTACCATGAGAGTACCTATAACCTATCAGGGTTGTTTTGTTTAAAACATTTTTGTTTAAACAAATGTTTAAAACATGTTTTAAATATTAGATTAAATTAAACATGCTTTTTTTAAAAACAATTTTAGTACAGGAGAAGATGATGGTATTATGGTATTATGGTTAATAAAATAAATTTCAGAAGACTAAAAATTCTTCATACGAGCGTGCGCAAAGCGAACTCACAGCTAATATATGATGTTATTATAGTACCATTTCGTTTTCTAGTGCAATTATGCAATATTTAAATATACATATATGCAATATGTACATATATATTTATACTTATACAAATTTGTCTTTCCGATTCATAATCCGATTGATCCGATTCATTTAGGTTGATATTGCTCATTTCAACATTTTCTGAATTGCATTTTTGTATATGCAATTTCATACGTGCTACTAAAGAACACATTTCTTTTTTACTATGTTTACATTTGGCTCTTAATTCGTTATTTATCATTAATTTGATAAAGCGCGCTTTATGTATACTTAGGCAAGTGCAAGAGCTTCAACATAAACATTTTATAAAAAGTGGTGCTTCAGTGCCGCTTCTTAAATTCTTATCGACAAAAGAGCAATGTTACTGATATTTTGACTTTACCGACCATTGAAAATTTACCCCTAGCAGCAAACTACGTCATTTTATAGTCATTTTGACGTCAGTTTGCTACAAAGGAGACTATGGCATAAAATATAAAATATATGTTTAAAACGGTTTTTTTGTTTTTTATATAAACATGATTTTTTTCCAAAGCTGTTTAAAACATATATAAAACATTAAAAACATGTATTAAACAAAAAAAAACTGATTGTTTGTTTTTTTACTTAAAAAAAACACCATTTTGACCAACCCTGTAACCTATATAATTAAAGGTGCCATTTCATGCAGCGAAGAAAAGCTGGCGTTTTACCCCCACTCTACCATAATGCCAAGCAGCGCTTGATGCCTCGACAGCTCGATTTTACGAGGGTTCCATCTTTAACGAAAAATGGTTGTGTTTAAATCGTTTAAATTTAAGTGAATATGTAAAAGAGAAAAATGAGTTTCGTCATGTCAGTTAATGATACATTGATGACAGTTAATGATACAAATAAATAAATAATAAATTCATTAATATTAATAATACATACACTGTCGAGATCAGTGCATGTATTATTAATATTAATAAATTCATTATTTATTTATTTGTAATTATTTACTTTTTTTACTTTTTTATTTACTTTTATTATTTACTTATTTATTATTATTACTTATTATTATTTATACTTATTATTATTATTACTTAAAATAATACAATACAGTTTATAGGCTTATATGATTAAATCAATATAATAATAGTCCAGTCAAAATAGACATTCAACTTAGCCAAAATTCGCATAGAGCTGAAAATTGGTATAGACGTTAAATAAACCATTAAAAATGAAATGTCAAAAATCCCCTTCGATCCTACTTGTACAAAAAAATTTATCCAAGGTCAAAGGTACAAAATTCAGGTTTTTTCCATTTTTCTCGGAAACGGTAAGTTTTATCGTAAAAATAGGTCAGACAAAAGTTGTAGATCATACAATTCTCTACAAAAAATGTTCAGATACTTTTTTTCGTACGAATCACTATTCGTGAGATATCGCGGTTTCAAATGGTAGGTTTTTCTCTCCGTGTATAGTCTTATACATTAAAATACTCATTCAATTTGTACAGTGTGTGAGTAACACAAATCAATAGTTTATTATTTTTACTTATATTAAACGTCCGATGACGTATATAGA